CCTCTGCCTACATCTATTCATTTCCTCCTGGCTCCCCAGACTCCTGTGACCTAATGGGGTCCTGCTGACCGGATGCAGTTGTGCCCAGATGCACTTTGGTGCTAGGGCACATGTGAGGCCAGTGCTGGCCCTTAGGCTCTGCAAGCCCATCAGTGCCTGCCTGGGTGTCTGTGTTCTCTATGTGTGAGCTCTTCTCTTTTTCTTCGAGGACGAGGATGATGATGTGGGGGAAGATGAGGACGAGGACGATGGCTTCTTTGTGCCCCATGGGTACCTGTCTGAGGATGAAGACGTGACTGAGGTGAGGGCCCCTGCCCGGGCTTGTTGTGAGGTATTGGGGTGATCAGCTGCTGTGGCTTGGGTTTCAGGGAGCAGGTGATTGGCATGCAGCCTGGCCTACGAATCCCACCTTCAACTAGAGTTCTAACGAACCCCCTAAGGAAAGCACAGGCTGCCCCACAGCTCCAGAAGGTCCCTGTCCTCCCCTGCACACTCCCATAAGAGGCCATGGAGACTTTGAGTGGTATCCTTAAGCCCAGAGCTCCTGGTTGCAGTTTTAAAAAGCCTGAATAGTGTGGCTGGGGTCAGGCTGACTGTGCCTTCTCGAATTTGGCCATGTTGTCATGGGCCGCTCAGGTCCTGTTTGGCAGAGTGTTTGCTCTGGGGTTGGCAATTTGACCACCTGTTAACTAGGTCATAGAAGCCCTGAGGCTAGACAAGCAAAGCCACCGAAATAACCAGACTTGTCACACAACTTGGAGTGAACTGACCCCCCTGGCATTGCCCTTTACTACTGCCTCCTCACAGGGCCTGGCACTGGCTCTCAGTAGCTCAGTGCCAGTGCTGAGTTGCCAGAGAGCATGGGTATTAAACAAGGGTCTGCTCCCTGTCCTGCCAGGAATGTTCGGACCCCGAGAACCACAAAGTGCGCCAGAGGCTGAAGGCCAAGGAGTGGGATGAGCTCCTAGCCAAGGGCAAGCGGTTCCGTGTACTGCAGCCTGTGCAAGTGGGATGTGTATGGGCGGCTGAGGCGGCCAACTGCGCAAGCTCCGACTTGAAGCTGCTGCAGCAGTTCACTGCGTGCCTGCTGGATGCAGCACCCCCTGAAGAGCCAGAGCCCAAGGCCTCCAGTTGGGAGAAGAGGAACCAGCATAGTAAGTGGGGTGCCAGTCTGTCTGGGCACAGCACTTCTCAGGGTGTCCTTGTGGAGGTCTCAAGTCTCCAGAACCTGTGTGTGAACAACCATCTGCATGCACAACTAGCAGGGCCTTCTGCTCATCTGTGTAGCAGCTTGCCCTTTTAAATTTTGGCACAGGGTACAAAACACAGCGTTCACATGTGCCTGCCAAGTGCTCACCATTGAGCCACACCTGTCTTGCTATCCATGACTGTTTTAACTTAAAAAAAAAATTTTGAGTCAGTGTCTTGCATTGTGACCCAGATAGGTTGTGAAGTGTTCTTGAACTCACGGTGGTCTTGACTCCGCCTCTTGAGTCATTTGATTGCAGCCCAGGCCTGGCTCCTTGGTGATTACTAAAGTAGGTCACACAGCAGAACGTTAAGTCAGAATTGAGACCTGGACTGTGCTACTCTCTCTGTCTGTGTCACCCTGGGTGGGACACATGTGAATCAGAGAGAGTAGTGGCCACTCAGGAGGTCTATGAGGACACACACAGCTAACCACATGGCAGTGCCAACGGCGAGCAGGCATGTGGCTTGGCCAGTCTTAACCACCCTTAGTGGCTTTCTTTGAAGTGTCCCTTGGTTGGGGCCCTCTCAAGGCTTCATCTCTAACCTGTCTCATCCCACAGTCCTGGCCCAGCTGCTACCGCTGTTGCATGGCAACGTGAATGGAAGCAAGGTGATCATCCGAGAATTCCAAGAGCGATGCCGCCGTGGCCTGCTGAGCCCCACAAACGCCACTTCACACCCACAGACACCTAACTCAGAAGATACTGTGGTCGTGCCATCCAAGGCCAGGCTGAAGCGCCTCATCTCTGAGAACTCGGCCTATGAGAAGCGGCCTGACTTCCGTATGTGCTGGTATGTGCACCCACAAGTGCTCAGGCGCTTCGGCCAGGAGTGTCTGCCTGTGCCCTGCCAGTGGACCTACGTCACCGCTGTGCCCTCAACACCCAGGGAAGACAATGGCAATGCTTCCACCGAGGTGCCTGGCCAGGGCACACCCATGCCAATCAAGCGGAAGCCAGCAGCCACCATGTGCATTACACAGTTCATGAAGAAAAGGCGGTACGATGGACAGGTGAGCTACAGAGGGCATGGGCCTTGTTCACCTGTGTCTAGAGGAGAGCTTTGTGGCGCTGGTTCCCTCCCACCTTCATGTGGGTTTTGGGGGTGGAACTTGGGTTGCCAGGCTTGTGCAGCAATCACCTTTACCCACTGGGCCATCTTGCTGCCCTTCTACAATAGCTGCAGAGTTGCAGTAGCACTGAGCGGATGATTGCATTTGCACAGCAGTTGCCTCTACTGCTACATCTTACTCCTCATGGTGAAGTCACCCAGAGGCCGCCACAGTTGGCTGAGTTGTTGATTTTTAGTGACCCAGCCGTTATGATTCCATCACAGGTCACAGCCTGTGTCCCACTTGCCCTCCCACACTAGCAGCCATGTGTCTGTCCATGTCCCCAAATGTCATAATCAGGGTCACACAACAAGTAATCCCTTGGCCTGCTATGTTTAGTTCATTCTTGCTTGATAACTCCTTCTAACTCTGAATGGTACTTTGTGCACATGGATAGGTGAAGCACCATCTCCTGAGCTACATGGGCAAGCGTGTGATAGAGCATCAGAGCCCTGCCCACTGAAGCAGTGTCAGCGTTTTTTGTTGTTTGTTTGTTTTTCTTTGAGGTGTCCTTTCTGTCACTAGAAATCTAGCTCACTCACTACATGTTGACATCTCAGGTCCTCTTCTGCGATGTTAGAGGGCACGGGCTCTAAGTGTTGCCTGACACTGGCTACCACTGTGTATGGACACTCTTCTTGTCCTTCTCTTAATGATCTTTGCCGTACCCCACATGAACAGGGAGCAAGGCTCAAAGGCACACTTTGCTGTCAGCCTTAGCCCTGAGGAACCCCACAGAGCACAATGGTGGGCTTTTGTATTTTGTGACTGAAAGTGTTGCCTCCAGAAGGCACAGACCCAGCATGGTGCTCACACAGTGCCCTAGACTGCCTGGGTCTGTTCTTTAGCAGCCCAGTGTTCCATCAGACTCGCTAGATCTGCTTGTAAGGAGTGGAAGGAAGTCCAGCCTTCCCAGGTGTCTGGCCACCTTGGGGAGGGGCAGCTATGCTCTTGAATGTTCTGTGTTCAGTCATTTAGAATGCAGAGTAGTTCAGCTTTTAGCTGGAGCTGTGATCACATCAGACTACTGTGCATCACTGGGCCCAGAGTGCCCCAGTCTTTGAGACTTGGTTTTCCCTGTTTTAAGGATTTATCATGTTTTTGTGGGTAGGTCTGCATGTGAGCACAGTATCCATAGAATCTCCCAGAGGACATCAGATGATCTATCTGCAGCTGGGGTTAAAAGCATTTGCGAACAGCCATATGGGTGCTGGGAACCAATTCACGTCCCTTGCTAGAGGAGCCAGGGCTCTTAGCCACTGAGCAACCCAGGCTACCTTCAACTCTTTATCCTCCTGCCTCAGTCTACACAATACCATGCATGGATGTAGGCAGACATCTGTACAAGAGGCATTCAGACTTGTAGAGAAGCAGCTGCCTTCCCCCTGTCAAAGGCCAGTGGGCTGTTTCCTCACCATGTGGGGTCAACCTGGCTACATCTGTCTTTTCCCCAGAAGCCCATGAACTGGCCAGGGATCCTCACAGCTGCAGGAAGCTCCAAGTCTTAGCCACCAGGAGAAAGAAATGCCAAGAGAGTAGGTGTTCCATTGGTTCTTTGAAACCAAAGTTGAGAAGCCAAGCCACTCAGGTTGCTCTGGGATGCTGCTGTTGGCAGCTTTTAGACGGGTGTGTGGCTCACCTTAGCAGAGTGCTTGTAGCCATAGGCCCCAAGCCATTTTGTTGGGGAGTGGATGGTCAAGATGCTGACAGGCTGTATTTTGTGCAGGTTGGCTCTGGGGACATGGATGGCTTCCAGGTAGACACAGAAGAGGACGAGGATGACGATACAGACTGTGTGATCGTGGATGTGTCAGAGGCTCCCATGCCTGCACCCACACCTTGCAAATGACAGATGTCAAGTTGAAACTCCTGGGGAAAAGTGACCTGGGCTGCAGGGAGTGGAGTGCAGGCGCCTGGAGTGCAAGGCTGGTATATGGCATGGCCTGGGCAGTGGTGGCCATGCCTCCCCTCAGCCTTGTAGAGCTGCTGAGGGAGGTGGGGATGGGCACTAGCAACAGCCTGCTATGTGGCACTTGAGCAGCCACCACCAGACTCGCCTCCTGCTGACTCCCATGTAAAGAGCACTTTGTCCGACACCCCAGGGTGTGGAGTCTAGAGGAGGCCTGAGCAGTTACTTCCAGACTGTAAAGCCCCCAGGGCTATGTGCTGATCTACCCTTCTTAGTTAAGCATTATCGACAGCTGATTGACAGGTGCCTGCTGTGGTCAAACACCTGCTAATGAATTGTACCAGGGACACTGAGGCTGCTATGCAGGCCCTGGGCAAACATGAACGTGTATAAACATACTCTACCTGAGCCTGTCTTGTCATGACTATCATGTTACACTGGTGTGTCCTTCCACTTGTACCCTGCAAAGGTCATGGGCCCAGCCAGAGCATGGTTAGGATGTCCCCAGCAAGATGAATGTGTCCCTTGAAAGGGGGCCCCTAGTGTCATCTTCCCCAAGGGAAGTGCCATGCCTGGCCTGTTCTGCCCCAATCCCCAGCATGTGCACTTTGCTGATGCCCTTGTTCTACCAGCGCCTCAAGAGTCTGCTTAGCCTGGACCTGGTTTGCTGTAGGATTTCCACTGTCATGGTTGCTGCCTTGTGTGGCTTTGATGAAGACACCAGGAGGCTGGGTTTAAATAGCCTGTTTATTTGGGTTCATAACTTAGGAATTACAGTTCCATGCTGCAAGGCACCTGCTTTCTGCTGTCTCCAGCACAGGTATGGGGCAGGCTGCTTCCATCCATAGTCTGTGAGGCCTGTGCCCATGCTGCAGACCCGCTCTGCCACCTGTGCTGGGCTCCCAGAGGCTCCACACTCTTCAGGAAGGGGCAGACCTGTCCCTGCAGCCCAGGTGACTCAGTTCTTGAGATGGGACCCTGTTCCCAACTCTACTGCTACTAGTGTCCCTTCTATTTGGTGGGGACTCAGGGTAAGGAATGGGTTTGGGGGACGGTATGACACAGCGCATGCTGGGCCGAGCCTGCTTTTATTCAGGAGAGCTGCTCGATGGCTGCAAGCAGCTCAGGCCTCAACACACATGTGGCTGGCTCGGCTCCTGCAGCCCTCATGTCCTCCAACACTGAAGCATCCCAGGAGAAGGTCAGCAGGGCAGAGGGTACCTGCAGGGCAGGCAGAATGTCACTCATTATGCCACCATCCCCAGCCCTGTGATGGCTGTTGTTAAATCAGACTACCCTCAGACAGGTAGCCTATCCCCATGCCACCTTCTCCATACAGATCCCTGGAGTCAGCTCTTGAGAGGTCACCTCCCCATCTTATAGGAGGGAAACCAAGGCATTGAGACAGTACAAGCCCCCAGTGGTGGGAAGGTGATCCTGGAACCTGCGGTGCACAACCCCAGCTCACCAGTCCACACTCGTTCAGGGCCAGGGCCTCGTCCTCCACCAGCCTCTGTCCACCTGAGGCCCTCAGCTCAAAGGGCAGCCAGTCATTCTGCAATGCTTCGCGCACAAACTGGAAGAGCACAGGCAGCCGCTCCCGGGCATAGAAGGTCCCTGTGAAGTAGCAAGCATGAGCTAGATGGTGCAGCCATCCCACTACCCACCCTGGGCTGGAGGCCACGCACCCTGCAGCAAGCAGCCATCGGGCAGGCGCACACGCAGTAGGGCATAGGTGTACTTGCGCAGCTCCCGCTGCTCCTCCTTTTCGCGCATGGCCTTGGTCCTTAGTGAGCTCAGCCGCTCCACGGCCTCAGTTCTGCCATAGGGTCAAGCATGATCAGGCTGCCGCCCCAGGAACTGCCCCCCTCACCCCCTCCTCATGTGGGCCTACCTGAGCCTTTGCTCGCGTTTCACCTCCTCTGCTGTGAGGCTGAAGAAGTCGGCGGGGAGCTCAAAGTGTGAGGCCAGGGCTGAGGGTCGGAAGACTCGGCGCTGCCGGTCCAGCATGGCTCGCACTGGCTCTGCACTAAGCAGCTGCTGCTTGTGCTGCTCCAGGCTCTGCGGCTGTGCTCGTGTGGCCTCACCCAGCACATAGAACTCCTCAGAACCTTCTGCAGGGGTGTCACAGCTGTCCCCATGTCCTGTACATCGCCCCTGCCCCCTCCCACCTGCCTGGCCGCCCTCTCACCCTGATCTGGTACTGGCAGTGTCATCTTCTTGAAGCCGATGGCTTCGAAGAACTCATGGGTACCCTCCAGGCAGTTGATGCGCTCCTGGGGACAAGGCACACACGTCACTCAGGCCATAGGGCCACGACCCCTTGTACCACTGGAATTGATACCAAGCTGGCACCTGGCTGAAGACCCACAGCTGATGAGCTTTTCTTGATACCATCTAGGGATGACATCAGCCATCATGGCTTGTGGCTAGAGTTAAGACACTGCTGTGGGCACAGGCTGGGGTGGCTGCACCCATAAGCCTCATGTCTGAATTTGTAGGACAAATGTCACAGGGTGACTTCTCAGGGTATTGAAATTGAAGAGATGCCATTCCCAGGATCCAGGTCCCCAATCCCAGTAAATTTCAATCATAGACGCAACATGTTTGTGGTCTTGCAAATCAAGATCCTATACTCAAAAAATACAGTCTGGGCTGGTGAGGTAGCTAGGTTAAGTATGATACCAGGACCCATTTAGTAGCAGGAGAGAGCTAACTCCCACAGATTCTGTTTACACCCATGCTATGGCTCATGCACTCACATGTAAGTTAAATACATGTATGAGAAGAAGGATGGGTGGTGTACTGCATGTATGCATCCTGCTGCTTTGGAAGCTGAGGCAGGAGCATTTCCCCTCAGTACTAGGTTAGGTTGGACTACACACTGATGTCGGGTCTCAGCAAAAGTAAAATCATCACAGACAAAATCCAAGCAAGCCGACCCTATGCCCGGTGACCCCAGAACAGCCTGTGGCTGCAGCGTACCTGGAACACCTTATTCTGCAGTTTGATTTTCTGGTACTTTTCCTCCTCTGGGTGCAAATGAATGTTGTCCAGGTATCTGTGTGGGGCAGAGGCACAGGCAGGTGATCACCTGACTTCATTCTTCTTCCACCCTTGGGCCTCACCCAGCCAGAGTGCACCTCGTGCCCACAGCACAGGGAGTACGGCCCCCAATGCTCTGGCCCCTTGGGCTCACTTGGCGATGGTGTCCACTCCCAGCTTCACTCGGTCCCGGTCTCTGTTGAACGTATGTATCTTCATGATGGAGGCAGCTACGGGGTCTGTGGAGAAGTGCTGGGGGAGAGGAGGGTGTACTGAGGACCCTGCAAGACTGCAGGGGAATGGGCAGAGGGGCAACAGCCACAGCCATGAGCTCTCAGGCCACTGTGGTGTGTAAAAACTAAGGCTAACCATGAGTGCTTGATAGAGGGCAAGGAACATGCCTTCAGTGGAGGCCACTTGTGCCTCTTCTACGATGGGGAAACAGCCCAGCAGGAAAAAGAGACCATACGTCCCTTCAGGTGTCTGGGGCTCTTGTGGCCATACAGCTGTGCCTTGTGAACCATAGGGCCTGGCTGAGGTCACCATAGCTGCGTGTCATGTAACTCCCACATGCTGTGAGAAGCCAGGACCATGGTGGCTACAGTGGGTGTCAGGGAGCAGAGAGGGACACAAGCCTGCCATTAACCATCAGCAAATCTGAATGGCCAGTATGATGCTGGAACCCAGGAATATTCAGGTAAGGAAGTTTTGGGGTTGCTAATCATGAGCTATGGTCTGAAGACCCACAAACGGGGAAAGTCTGACAGCTCCCAGGAATATGAAGCCACAAGCCAAGGGATGTGAGGCCTCTAGCTGCTGGGGAAGGCAAGTATGGAGCCTCCATGAGGGACCAGCCTTCCCAACCCGGATTTAGCCCAACATATCTTGTGCTAGACTCCTGGCACTACAGTTCAGGACAGAAATGCACACCTGCAGCTACCAGGTATTGTCAAAGCTGGTTGCAGGTGTGAGAGGCTGGCCCAACATTCGAAATCCTCCTGCCTCAGCCTCCTTAGTTAAAGGACAACAAGGAATGACTGCCACATCTGACTTTCTTCTACTTTCTGAGTCTTCTATGCCTCATTTGCAGATGGGGCAAAAACACAGGGTCCACTCCTAGGCCATTAGAGAACTTGCCAGGTGCAGTAGTTTAAATAAAAATGGCGCCCACAGGCACATGTATTTGAAGGCTTAGTCACCAGGGAGTAGCACTATTTGAAAGGATCAGAAGGATTAGGAGGTGTGGTCCTGTTGGAGGAAGTGTGTTTCTGGGAGTGGGTTTTGAGGGGTTTTTTTTGTTTGTTTGTTTGTTTGTTTCCAGACAAGGTTTCTCTGTGGCTTTGGAGGCTGTCCTGGAACTAGCTCTTATAGACCAGGTGGGTTTTGAGGTTTAAAAAGCCCTTGCATCGATGGTAGTGCACACCTTTGAGCACTCAGGAGGCAGAAGATCTCTGAGTTGGAGTCCAGCCTGGTATACAAATTGAGTGCCAGGGCTACAGAGAAAACCCTGGGTGGGGGGGTCATGGTAGGCCCTATCTTTTTTGTTTTTTAAGATTTTATTTATTTATTATGTATACAGTTATCTGCATGCATGCTTGCACACCAGAAGAAGGCACCAGATCTCATTACAGATGGCTGTGAGCCACCATATGGTTGCTGGGAATTGAAACTCAGGACCTCTGGAAGAGCAGCCAGCACTCTTAACCTCTGAGTCATCTCTCCAGCCCTAGGCCCTATCTCTTGATCTCTCTCTTCATGCATATCACGATCTGTAATGCTCAGCTACTTCTCGAGCACTATGCCTACCTGCCACCACACTCAATGACCAAGCCTCTGAACCTGTAAGCCAGTCCAATTAAATGGACTTTTTTTTTTTGCTTTGCTTTTTCGAGACAGCGTTTCTCTGTGGCTTTGGAGGCTGTCCTGGAAGTAGCTCTTGTAGACCAGGCTGGTCTCGAACTCATAGAGATCTGCCTGCGTCTGCCTCCCGAGTGCTGGCATTAAAGGTGTGCACCACCACTGCCCGGCAAATGCTTTCCTTTTTAAGAGTTGCCTTGGTCATTGTGTCTCTTCACAATGTCTCTCATCAATAGAATAGCTACTAAGACACTAGGCTTGATGAGCATCTGTGGTACCATGTGTCCAGTGGTTCAGGCCTGATGCTGGAGCACAGGCCACTCACCGACAGGATGGCCTCCTTGATGTGGGCATCCCGTTGATCCCTCCTCAAGGTGACACCTGTGAGCGGGCAGATGAAGTATACACCAGGCACTGCCAGGTGGGGAGAGATTTCCTCTTTGGGTTCAGGTGCCTGAAGACAGACAGGATAGGAGGCTCTTGCAGTTGGACATACAGGCCCACAGCTGTCACCCCTCCCTCCAAGGGTCTGTCTTCCCACTGTCACAGGTGCTGCTCATGCCAGGCTCTGCAAGAAGCTTTCCCTCCCCAGGAAGCACACTGCCCCAGAGCACAGCGCAGTCCCCAGAAGATACTGTACCAAGTTGGTCCCGGGAGCCCCTGGGCTGTTGCTGGAGGTGGCTTCTGCCTGAAGTTCCTTTCTCACTGGGAGCGGGAGGGTATAATGGGGATAGAGTGAGGACCCCAGCCTGAACCCAGAGGCTCAGCCATACCCATGACCCTCCATGGTGGGGGAGGTGGAGGGGCGATACTGGCCTAAGAGCTAGTAGCTCTCCCTGCCAATGCACCAAGGAGTAGAGACCTCGTCCCTGGTCTTCTCCAAGTCCCCATCCAAGGACCGCTGGTGTCCTCTGTGGACCTTACCCCATTGAATCCATCTTACCCCAGGTGCCACGGAGCACAAAACTCACCCTGGTTCCGGATGGAGTCCTGAGATGTGGGGCCCCGAGCTCGGGGCTGCTTCTGTTCCAGTCTAGCCAAGGCAGCAGCAGCAGCCATCTGTGCCTCATCGGTGGGGCCCTGGCGGGGCTGCTGGAGGGCCTGCTGTGGCGACTTTTCTTTGGGGGTCTTCTGTCTGGACAGACATGGGGACCCGAATAGCGTACTGGCGTCCCCATCTTGCAAAGAGGTGCATAGATCACAGACACTGGACCTCCAGACACCATCCTCTCCCCTATCAGGCACTGGCCTGAGGATTCTGTCAACTCCCACCATGGAAGCTGCCCCCTAGTTTGCCCACCTTCCTTCCAGCCTTGGCCTGCAGGCCCCTCTTTTTCCTACTGAACCCCAGCCCCTGGTCGTCACAGGGCCCACATTCCCTACTTCCCTGCCCAGTCCTACAAACTTCTCTGGTAGCCTCTAGCTGTTTCCAGTCTCCATCCCACCCCTTCTGGGCAGTTCCAGTATCTCACTTGCCACGCACCCATGCCTCACCCCCCTCTCAGTACGCACAACTCTCCAGGACCTCCAACACTCCTGCGAGTACCCCAGCTACCAGGGCCCCCAAAGACATCCCACCTCCTCCCTGCTAGATGCATGCACTCCAACCACTCATCAACAGGTGTAAGGTTCCCTGGCCTCCACACTCCTCCAAGACCCTCCCATAACCTCTCCCTCCTCAACCCCTCCTAGACCTGCCTGCCCTCCCTCAACCTTCCTGCACTGCACACCACCTGCCAGGTGGTGTGCTCTCAGCCGCTCTTCTGCCCTCAACCTCGGTCTCGCCCAGGCCCCGCCCCCAAGGGTTCTTCAACCCCGCTCCTAGCATCGTCCCGCCCCTTCCCACCAGCCGGCACCGTGGGTATCCAGGCCCAGGCGACACCTCCTTGCCCACCGGCCCCGCCCACACCCAGTACAACAGCCACGCCCACCACCGGCACTCCTAGGCCACGCCCATATGCACACTCCGCCCTTCCATCGGCTCCCACTCTGCATCGCTGGGAGGGGTCCCGGGCTTCCCGCCGGCCCTCCCCGCTCCATTGTCTTCGCCGTCCCCGCCGCCCAGCCGGCATCACGCACCCTGCGGAGTCCGTGAGCTTCTGGCCCGGCCCCGCACTCTTGAACTTGATGTCAGCCTTGATCTCCTGGAAGAACTTCTTCATGGGGGGGAGGGCCGCTGGGCGGGGGCGCAGGGCCCAGGTGGGGAGGAGCAGGCGGCCAGCCACCGGAAAGAAAATATCGCGGTCCCGGAAGTCCCGCCCTGCGCACGTGACAATCGCCTCGCATGCACCTCGTGAGCCAGTCGCCGCCTTCCTGTCTGCGGACGCGTTGCCTGAGCGACGGGCCCGCCTCCCGCAGGGCCGCCGCGTGCAGTCAGGGAGAGCAAGAGAAAATTGCTTGCACTGCTCAGCGTCTAAGTGTCCCCAGCACTGCGGAAACTAGGCTTGAAGTCAAGAGTTCAAAGCCAACCCGGACGACCGAGAAAAACGAGAATGATGGGAGCATGGAGTACCTCTTGGGAGGGACAAGACACAGAAAGGAGACGACAAGGTCAAAGCTGGTCTGGACTACTCTGCTGGGGATCTGCCTTAGTTGGTCCAGCATGTGTGAAGCCTGAGTTTAATCTCCTGCAACACTGCCATCTGGTGAGGTGTGCATACTCAAAAAAAGATGGATGCTCTGGGCTCAGGCATTGTAGAACACCAGTGTTCATGTAAATCTGCATCAGGACCACTATGACTGTGTGCAAGAAACCCCCAAAATCAGACACTTCACTGGTGATGGTCACTCATCAAAAAGAAAGAGTGGAGTGGGCCACTGGACGCTCACTGGAGATTCCAGCTGCTCCCTCGTGCACCTCCTGGCCATGTGCATGTAATTCTGACCTTATTTTACATGGCCTTGTGGTCTCTGGAGCAACTAAAGTTTGCAATTAGTGGACCGTGTACCTGAGGTAGCAATGGGCAAGACTTTATCTGTGCTGTTGTGAAACTGTCTGGGGGCAGCTGCTTTGGGACTATCTCACTGTTAGATAGAAATCTCATTGTTTTTGCCAGCCATCGAACCCCAAGATGCACAAAGCTAAGGGGATGGACACCCAGGTGGTGACTGAAAGAGAGCAGGGAAGTCATTGATTTTATAAGAACTGTGGAGGACTCTGGCTCAAGCACAGGAGACAGGAGTGGAGCACCCTGAAAAAGGCAGCTGAGAAGTGCTTGGTAAAGGCTCCAGGACATGATGCTTTTAGCCTGTTGGGGGATAAAAACAGCTGGACAGTGGTGGCACACGCCTTTAATCCTAGCACTTGAGAGGCAGAGGCAGCTCGATCTCAGTGAGTTTCAGGACAGTCAGGACTGTTACACAGAGGAACCCTATCTTGAAAAACCATTAAAAAAAAAATGTTATTTAGATTTTTTTTTTTTTTTTTTTTTTTTTTTTTTGAGGTAGCTTTTCACTACTATGTAGACCAAGCTGGCCTTGAACTCATGGAGATCTGTCTGTCTCCACCTTATGAGTGCTGGGATCATGGGTGTGCACCACCAAGTCCCTCAATATATATGTTTTACAGAGGACCTCATGTAGCCTAGGCTGGCCTTGAAATTCTGATCTCTTGCTTCCACCTCCCAAGCACTGAGATGACAATTATGTGTCACTTAAACAGAACAAAAATGTGTGTGTGTGTGTGTAGTGTATGCGCACGTGTAGTATGTGAGAATGTGTATGTCTGTTATCTGTGCAGAGACCAGAGGAGGATAACAGGCAGCCTCACCCTCCAGTTTATTCATGGGAGACAGGATCTCTCACTGAACCTGCAAGTAGGCTGGCAACAAGCCACAGATATCCTCTGGTCTTTGTCTCCCACAATCTGAATAATCCTGTTTGGGCTCCTGAGTCCTGGGATGACAAGCATAAGTGAGCCAATTTTTTAGGTCCTGAGAGGTCCCTGCAGCATAGACAGCCCACCTCTGTTAGGCTGTTCTCCTTTGAGATTGTACGTGAATCCTAAATACAAAAACAGAAACGTTGTTTTATGGCGTGAGTCAGGATTCTGTCTCGGAAGTTCCAGAAATCTCAAGGATCAGACACAGTTCAGGATAGGGGAGTCACTAACCTTCACTGGCCCCGTTGGACATGATCCATTGTGGACCCTCTTTTATAGCTGGAGAAAGGGGTTTTGCTCATTTATGGTATTGTGTAGTTTGTGGCAGGACATACAGTAGATGCGCAATTAACCCTTTGTAAATAAAAGAAATGAGCACTCGCCTAACATGCAGAACACCTTGGGTTCCACCCCCAGCACGGCAAAGCACTTGGAAGGCAGAGTCAGGACACTCAGTTCAAGGTCAGCCTTAGCTACATAGCTTATTTAGAAGCTAGCCTGGGTTAAGTAAGAGCCTGTCATAAAAATAGAAAGCAATTAGGGAGGGGGGTCTGGAAAGATGGCTCAGAGGTTAAGAACAGTGGATGCTCTTCCACAGGTCCTGAGTTCAATTCCGAGCAAACACATGGCTATAATGAGATCTGGTGCCCTCTTCTGGCATGCAGGCATACATGCAGGCAGAACACAGTATCCATAACAAATCTGGCTAAATAAATAAATAATGACTAAAACTAAGATATGGTATAAAGGGCTAGAGAGATGGCACAGTACTTAAGGGCTGCTCTTCCCAGAGGACCTGAGTTCAATTCCCAGCATCCACATGGAAGCTCACAATTGTCTATGATTCTGATTCTAGGGGATCCATCTCCCTCTTCTGGCCTGCTCAGGCACTAGACATGCACATGTGTGCATACATTCAAGCAAAACATCTATACACATAAAATGAAAAAAAATTTAAATTTATAAAAAGGCACGTATAAAAATAAAAACATAATAAATTACTTGTCCCACAAGCCTCAGGTGAAGTAAGAAGGCTGGCTGACTCTACAAAGCTGTCCTTTGACTTCTATACATGTTATGATGGCATGTGCTCACAAGTCGACACATATCACACACAGATTATTTTTTTAAGTTAAGAAATAAAAATAAGACTGAGCGTGGTGGCAAACACATCTGATCCCATGACTCAAGAGACAGAGGCTGGAAGATCTCTGTGATTTCGAGGCCAGACTGATCTACTTAAGAGTTCTAGGCCAGTCAGGCTGCTGAATGAGATCCGGTCTCCAAGCAATAAAGTAAGAATAAAAATAAGTAAGTTATAAAATTTCTAGGTATAAAAGTGTTATAAGTATAAAAAAAATATGTAACATTATAAACAAAAGAATAAACAATTTTAAAATTGCATCTGCCCCGCCCCCTTCTCGGCCCGGTCCTCCCTCGAGCCCCGCCCCTTCCCCTACCTACTGTCGGCGGGAGTTTACTGGCGCCGTTGAACCTGTTCTCTTATCAGCCATTGGTCGAGCTGCGGCCAATGAGCTTCATTCTTGAAGGCTGTCAATAATCCGTCGTCTACGTTGATTGGGTATATTTCATCTGGTAACCTCCAATGACCTGTGCAGTACTGTTGTGTATGTCCCGCCCTCCCTAGGCCCCGCCCCAACACTTCTTGTTACTGGTTTCCTGCTTCCTTTCACCTCCCCCCCGCCAGTGACCCAGAGGCCGGGACCACAGACCGCTTTTAGGCACCGCCCCGTCTCCCCGCCTAATTCACCTAATCGCTTTCACCCCGCCCCACATCCTGAACGCGTCCCACTCTAAGCCCCGCCCCACCATTCCTCCCTAGGCTCCGCCCTGTGGCTCCTACGGCTGAGCTCAGGTCTTTTACGTCCGACAGCCTACGCCCCGCCCACTGGCCCCCGAGGCCACGCCCTGAGCTTCTGCTCCGTTATCCAATCCCGTTAACTAACGCTGCTCCAACCCCTCCCTTTATTGGTCCCCGCGCTTCTCTGTGGTCATGAGCGACGGTGACGACGGCCCGTGGCGAAGGGAGGGTGGGACTTCCGGGAGCGCCGAACCCAATAAGTAGGCGCCGGCCGGCGGCCCGGGCGGCC